AGGAGGAGAAAAACTAAATGGGGCAATAGGTAAAAGCTGAAGTATGGTGCGAAAGGATAAATGTTACAGAAAAATGAGGCATGGGGTGGGGGGCAGGGTTGCCAGTTCTATCCAGGGATAGGATTGCTGACAGGTTGACTTTTCTTTTGTATTTTATTTTTATTTTCATTTTTTCTTTTTTTTTTTTTAAAGGGGATCCAATATCTGCTGTGTTAGTTGTTTTTTTTTTTTTTTTTTTGTTTTTTGTTTTTGGTTTTTTGGTTAGGAGTTCTTAGTTTCTGTTTTTTAAGATTTTATTTATTTATCTGACAGGGAGAGATTGTGAGCGTGCAAGCAGGAGGAGCAGCAGGCAGGGGCAGAGGGAGAGGCAGCTGAGCAGGAGCCCGATCTGGGCTCCCTCCCAGGACCCTGGAATCAGGGCCTCAGGCGAAGGCAGCCACTTCACTGATTGAGCCACCCGGGTGCCCCCTGGTTGACATTTGGGGGACGCTGGAGGAGGTGAGGGAGCCCTGAGATGCCTGGAGGAACGCAGTCAGCCGGAGGGCGCAGCAAACTCAGAGCCCGAGGTGGGAGCGGGCCTAGGGCTTCTAGGGCTTCAAGCCGAGCAGGAGGCCGATACAGGTGGAACACCAGTGAGTGAAGAACCGGAGCAGCAGGAGATGAGGTCCCAGAGGCAAAGGGACTGGGTCCTGCGGACGTTTTATAACTCCGCTTTTGGAGTGAAATCTCGCATATTGGGGTGCCTGGGTGGCTCAGCAGTGGAGCGTCTGCCTTCGGCCCAGGGCATGACCCCGGGGTCCCGGGATGGAGTCCCGCATGGGCTCCCTGCATGGGGCCTGCTTCTCCCTCTGCCTGTGTCTCTGTCTCGCTCCCGCTCTCTCATGAATAAATAAAATCTTAAAAAAAAAAAAAAAAAGAAAGAAATCTAGCATATTGCCCAGAACACGGGAGGGGCCTCATTCAGAGGAGCTCCCATGGTCATGCTTCCTGTCATCTTTATGTGGTCTTCCAACAGTGCCTCAGCCGTCAGGGCAGGGGTGACACGTGGTGACACACACCGCCTGGCAGACTGGTCCTGCCTGGGGCGCCGGGTGCGGTGGGTGGGGCCCAGCTCCAGCGCCCCGGAGCCCCACTGGCTGCCTGCTGGGCCCGGGCACGGGGTGGGGACTCGGCCTTTCCGAGTGTCCCCCCCCCCCCCCCGCCCCCGGTCTCCTCCCAGCCCTTCGAGAGAGGGGCGCCTCGGCAAACTGGGGTTGGGGAGGCGCGAAGGTGAGTCACACTCAGCCTGGGGCCTAGGGGCTGCCCTCTTCACCAGGACTGCGGCCCAGCGACTCTGGGGGCCCTTTCCCACCAGGCTCCCCGCCCCCGCCGAAGGAGAGGAATCCTGCAGCTCAGCTCCTACCCGCCAGCTCTGCAGCTGCCCGCAGGCCTGGACAGGTCCCGGCCGTACCTCCTCGGTGGCTGAGGATGCAGCAGGGGGAATCAGGTTTCGCCAGCTTCGGAACAGAACCCAGGTTGCTGTGTCAGGCCTTTTCCCAGGGCTTCCTGGACTCGGCCCCCCCTTCTTACCCATCTGACCTCATCTCCCATTGTACTCTTGCTCTTCCTCTGCTCTGAGTCACACTGGTCTCCCTGCTGAGTTGCACCAAGCACGCTCCTGCCTCAGGGCCTTTGCACTTATTCCTTTTATCCAAGGATAAAAGCACCCGCACGCTCGCTCTCTAGTATCCTCCAGGCTTTGCTCAGATGTCACCTTCTCAGGGAGGCCTTCTCTGACTACTAGAGCTGAGCCCCGCACCCAGCCCTGTCCTTCCTGCACCCTCTCCCAGCTTCATCTTCTTCTGTAGCTTCACATCTCACTGTACCATGTATTTTACTGATTTGTCTTGTTTATGGCCTGTCTCCCACTGAATGTTAGCAGGATCACCCTTAGACTGGGCAAGAAGGGCCTCTGCTCTGTGCTTTCGAAAGCCAGAGCTCTGGCCCCGCTGCCTTTCCCCTGAAGCCAAGGATTTGTGACTGCTAGAACCTGGATCTCCCTCCTTGGTCTCTAGATCATTCCCTGCTCAAATGGTCCCAGGCCACCCCAGGGCTGTGCGGAGGGCAGCCAGCATAATCCAGGTGTATATTCCTAGGCCCAGGGGATGGAAGGCTGCCTATGGGTATCAGTGGACGAAGTTTGGGTGCATGGGCTGGGTTGTACCCACAGGACCTTCACGGCGTGGAATTGAGCCTGGGGTGGGTAGAAAAATGGATTGACCATTGCTCCTGGGCTGAGGGCTAACTCTGGCCATGCAGTCACATTCTGGCCCAGTACACTAGATATCTGAATATCCAGATTAAAACCTGGCCTTCCAGATTGCTGTGAAGACAGGCTTGTTCTAGTAGGAAGATAGAATATCTTTCATTTAACAGTTTGCTCAACTCATATGCTATGTTGGCCCTCCACACAATTTTGCCCAGAGCTTCCAATATATCAGGACTGAGATTTTGATTATTTTCTGCATTTCTGTATCTCTGGCACCTAGAACAGTGCCTGGCACACACACATGCTTGCTAATTTGTTAAATGAATAAAAAAGCCCTGGGGTGATGCCCCCACATACTCTAGGGGACCCCAGAAGTGGCTGGGAGTGTTGTGCTTTTTTTGTGTCAGAGCCTGAGTCTCAGGGTCAGACGGGGTTAACTCTGCCTTGTGTGAGGGGCTAGGCCATGTGTGAAGACCCTCTCCCACCACCTGCCTGCCCCCACACCCCTATTATAGCTGCAATTTTTCTTTTTTAAAGATTTTATATTTCATAATCTCTATACTCAAGGTAGGGATCAACGTCACCACCCCAAGATCAAGACTTGCAGGCCCCACGGAACGACCAGAGCTCGTACTTGGGCATCAAGGAGACCCGTACAGCAAAATGTCTGAGTTACTTCTGGTCTGTGCACGGCCTTTACTTTCTTTACCCTCCCTTTCCTTATTTATTAATTACTTATTTATTTATATTTATTGATTTATTTTAAGGATTGTATTTCTTTACTCATGAGAGACATAGAGAGGCAGAGAAACGGGCAGAGGGTGAAGTAGGTTCCCCGCCCCCCCACGAGCCCGATGCTGGATTCGATCCCAGGACCCGGGGATCAGGGCCTGAGCCAAAGGCAGTGGCTCCACCGCTGAGCCACCCCCCCCCCCCCAGGTGCCCTCAATTTCCTTTTATTTTTATTTTTTATTTTTTTTCAATTTCCTTTTAAAAGGGGAAGCATCGGGATCCCTGGGTGGCCCAGCGGTGGAGCGGCTGCATTCGGCCCAGGGCGTGATCCTGGAGACCAGGGATCGAGTCCCACGTCGGGCTCCCTGCATGGAGCCTGCCTCTCTCTGTGTCCCTCACTAATAAATAATCTTAAAAAAAAAAAAAAAAAGTAAAAGGGGAAGCACCAAAGCTTGCTCCGGAGCCGCGGGCGGCGGCCACGCCTGCAGGCCCTCGCCCCCGCGCCCCGCCCCGCCCGCCGGCCGGTAGCGCCCTCTGCCGGGCGCCTGGGGAAGGCCCGGGAGCCGCTTCCTGCAGGCAGCGCGAGCAGCGGAGACCCAGGGGCGGTCTCGGCCCAGCCCGCCAGCCATCACGCAGCAGAGCGTACTTCGGCAGCTCCTCACGCCAGGCCCTCTTGCTCAACACTCTGCACACATTAAACTTGGGGCACCTGGGTGGCTCAGAGGTTGAGGGTCGGCCTTCGGTTTGGGGGATACCCCGGTCCTGGGATCGAGCTGCATCAGGCTCCTTCCCAGGGAGCCTGCTTCTCCCTCTGCCTCTGTCTCTCATGAATGAATGAATAAAATCTTTAAAAAACATATTAACTCATTTTCTCCTCCATTTTGCAGATGAGAAAAGTGAGGCACAGAAAGGTTAAGTGAGTTAAGGTGATCATACACTGGAAGTGCTAGGATTTGAACCTGTGCCCTGAACCAATGCCTTCTTGGTGGAAAGTAGCTCTACCTTTAGCTTAAAAGGAGTTGGCTCTGTGGAGTTCCCCAGTGAGTTTGGAACTGGACATACGGGGTACGGACTGTAAAGGGGCTTTCCTTAGTAACTGTCCCCACCCGTTTAGTGGCAGGCCAGCCGACCTCGGGACCCCCTCCTGACTGGCCATCCCTCAGCATTTCCCTGACTGGATCTTGCAGCGTCCCTGTGTGGGCCTAGGGTTAAGCACAAGAGGCTGTGCATTGAGACCTCAGTTACTTGCCCACCTTCCAAGGATGACAGTCGTTTCCCTCAGGCTCCCCAAGGGCCTAGACAAAGTTCACCGGGGGAAGTGGGTCCTATCTGCAGCCCCCCAGCTCAGGTCAGCAGCAAGGGAAAATGTGTGAAGGGAGGCTCGGGCTCTGCCCATCTCAGCCCTCCTGAGCGGATGTTGGGGAGTGCCTGCTTTGCAAACTATCTACCCATCTGAAAAACGACAGGGGTGAATTGAAGGCAATTTTCAAAGTGCTGTGGTTTGGGGCTTAAGGAGAAACACTAAGAAGACGAAGCCAAAGAGCCAGGTCTCTCGGCCACCTGACCCCTTCTTCCAGCAATTTGATAAAAAAATTTTTAAGTTTATTTCTTTTAGTGATCAATATGCCAAACATGGGCTCAAACTCATGATCCCAAGATCAAGAATCTTAAGCCCCAATGACTGAGCCAGCCAGGGTCCCTCACAATTTCTATTTTTTTTTTTTTTTATTGGACTAGGGACCTGTGACTTTGGCTGTTAAGTCTGGGGGGGGGTCATTTAACAGAATGAGCATGAGGGGTCCTTCCAGCAGGAAGCTGTCAGCTTGACTGACCCCTCCACTTGGAAGTGGGCAGCCTTGATCCCAAACAAGGCCATGAGGACCCCTCTCACCCATCCCTGGTCATTGGAGGACTGGCTTTAAAGCATTTGCAGAGCTGGATGCTCCAGGGAGTTTATTTCAACATGGTTTTTTTTTTTTTTTTTCTTTTTTTTTTTTTTCAACATGGTTAAGGTCAAAAGATTAGAATCCTCAATGTCCATGGATGGTGGTGAGCACATCCCAACTGGGTATGTCGCAGACGGTGAGGCAGCCTCCGAGGCCTTGTTATGAAACGTATACTGCAACGTGTATGTGTATAGATCGGAAGGATATATACCAAATTTTCACACCACAAAATATCAAAGATTAACATTCCAGGTATATAAACTCATTCACCCAGTCCCCCCTGGTATGGCCAGCCATGCTGGTTATTTATGGGGGCTAAACTCTGGAGTGGTTAGCATGGGTAACTGACCATGTGCTGACTTATTATAGGTCCTAAAGACCACAGTCCTAAAATCCCATTTTGCAGAGGAGAAGCAGGACCAGAGTAACATCCATCCCCATCACAGAGCCCAGATTTTTTTTCCCCCCAAATCACTCAGAGTCTGGTGCCTCGTTCCATTGCCAGGGGAATCTAGATCCCTCCACAGAGCCCAGGCTTGGCTGGAAGAAGCCACTTTTCCTCCTCAATGCCCTCCAAAAATCTCAGGGGAGGAAGGCCAGCCTGCACAGGGGCTGTTTGGTTTTATTATTAGTCTTGGCTGAAGATAGGGTTTCAGGCTTTATTCAGGCTTTTCAGAGAGGAGTTGAAGATAAGAGGCAGCAGGTGTTTGCTGGCTGAGACACCTAATCCTCTCACCTTATCGGGAAGAGCAGCAGGACTCTGGTGGAGGGAAATCAGAGGCCCCTGGAGCCAGAAGCTGCAGCTGGAGGGTGAGGCGGGAGATGGCCTTGACCTGCAGGCTAAGGTGCTGTGGAGCTCTGTGGACCAAGGAGAGGTGGGAAGGGTTTCTCACCCAACTTAGTTCCCCTTTGATTTCAGGACACCCTCTGCCTCCTCCTTCAGAACTTGACAGTGTGTTAGAATTGCCTGGAGGCCTATGAAAGCACATTTCAGGGTCCCACCTGCAGACTCTCTGATTCGGCCGCTAATGCTGATGCTGCCCGGCTAGGAGCTGCATTGGGGTAGCAATGCTTTAGAGTGTTAGTCACTCTTGCGGGAAGAAGACTTTTATTTCAAGTTCAGCAAACCCTTTGGCTTCGCTTCACATTCTTTTCTCTTGGTTCATTGCAAAGAAAATGTTCCACTTCATTTTAACAAAGGCATACATGGAATTATTGTTCTTTCCCTGCTGTCTCTTCATCCTCATCCCTGCGTCTGTGTGTTGTTAGGACCGTTCCAATTTCACGGACATCCTGGGTGACTTCTCTCATTTTCTGTCTGGCTTGATTTTGATGATGATCAGGTGTCACTTAAAAAAAAAGAAATACAATGAGGCCATTCTTTAAAGGAGGAAAATCCCCTCCGAGAGTGGTTGTGAGGATTTGTTTGAAGGAAATAAATTAAAGTTATTTGGCCCTAGAAAGTATTAAATAAGTGGTAGCTGTTACCAGTGAACACAAATAGAACTTAGAGTGTGCCAGATATTAAGTCATTTGATCTCCATAAAAACTCCCCATTTCATAATGAAAAATGAGAGGCAAGTAGAGGTTAAATTTAACTTGCCAGGAAGAGCAGAATCAGACCCCTCCCTGCCTTTCCATATAGAGCCTACCACACAGGAGAGGAAATCTTTCCATGCTGCACTATGCAAGAAACTATGCACTATGTTCCAGAAAAGACGGTGCCTGTAGCTCTGGTGGGGCTCAGCCCAGGGAGAAGAGGGTTAATGGTTCTCCCATGCAGAAGGGGAGCTCAGAATTTGCAGAGAGAGGGGCATTGGCTGGCTCAGTTGGAAGAGCCTGACTCGAAGTCAGCGTTGTGAGTCTGAGCACCACATTGAGTGTAGAGATTACGTTAAAAAAAAAATTTGTAGAGAGGAGGGTAGGTTTACCGTCATCAGGCCCACCTGGGCAAGCGTATGACTCCTGAGTTTCCTCTACCATCGAGAAGAAGCCGGGTTAAGCCAGCAGAGTTAAAAAGTATTCCCTTGGGGCAGCCCAGGTGGCTCAGGGGTGCCTTCGGCCCAGGGCCTGATGCTGGAGACTCGGGATCAAGTCCCACGTTGGGCTCCCTGCATGGAGCCTGCTTCTCCCTCTGTGTCTCTGCCTCTGTCTCTCATGATTAATAAATAAATTCTTTAAGAAAAAAAGCCATTGAAGTGGAGAGTGACGTGGGTGAATGGTGTAGTATGTGATGATTCTCAGGGCAATAAAACTACGATAAAAAAAGTAGTTCACTCCCCACACACCTCTGGGAAAAATTCCTTTATTAAAAAAAGTCGTAGTACATTTACACAATTGTCATCACTCTTTTATCTACAGCACTCAACAGGGAAAATAAAAAATAAAGGACAACATAGTCGCGCTTAGTATAAAAACGCAGGAATTCATTCTGACAGGAGGCCTGTTGTCTGGAGAGGAGAGAGAAATGCATGAAGGCGTGTGAGCCGAGGAGCTCAGGCCTGGGTTTCTGAGCAATCCAGGGGACGGCTGAGGACCCGCCTCTAATGTTTTGAAGACAGCATTAAAAAAAAAAAAAAAATCCAGGTTGCAATAAGAGGTCTCATTCTAAGGAGAAGGAGAAGGGTCCATTCCAGAAAGAACATCATCACTGGGGGGCGTGGGGTGGTCAGAGTCGGTCCGGGCATTTTATGGCAGGTGATAGACTCCCAGAAATTTGGCCTTGGAGGCAAGCCTGGCCCAGGCGGAGAGGTTTCCAGAGGTGAAATCAAAGCGCACATGTGCCTCCATTCTGAAAGGCTTAGAAACCAACCCTTAATGTGAGATTTGAGGGCCTCTCTCCAAGTTGCTAAGGCCACTTCTTGACAAGCTCCCAAGTCCCCGGCTGAGGGGAGGACTCAGGCTCCTTGGAGATGCCACCGCAGCTGACCGTTAGCCCCTGGTCCTGCCTAGTCATCCTGGCCACCCCCGTACATGTCCGCCAGCTTCTTGAAGCGGCTGCCCCACTCGTTCAGATAGTCATAGTCTTGGTCCTGGTCAGAGGCCGAGGAGGTGAGGGAGCTCAGGGAGGCAGCGTCGGAGCCGCTCCCCTCATAATCAAACACCAATAGGGAGTCATAGGGCGGGGCCGTGGGGTCCGTGTTGGCCGCCTTCAGGTTCTGTGGTGACAAGAGCAGGTGGTTAGGAGCAGCGCTCAGACGCTCAGCAGCTGCGAGAGCTCGGGCGAGGGAGTTCGCCCTGCTGAGCCTCTGTTTCCTCATCTGTGAAGATACCTCTTCCCTCCATTACAGTTTTGAAAGGTGAAATGAAATTACACACAAAACCACTGAGCCCTGAGCCCAGCGTACAGTAAGGGCTCTGTGCACCGGGCCAGGGGTCAAGAGCAGGGACTCTGAAATCAGACAGCTGGAGTCAGAACTTGGACTTCACACCCGAGGTTTGTGAAGTTGGGCAAACGCCTTAACCTCTATGTGTTGTTTTGGTCTTGTCTTTAAAATGGGAGACTGGGCAGCCCAGGTGGCTCAGCGGTTTAGCGCCTGCCTTCAGACCAGGGTGTGATCCTGGAGACCCGGGATCGAGTCCCACGTTGGGCTCCCTAATGAGGCCTGCTTCTCCCTCTGCCTGTGTCTGCCTCTCTCTCTCTCTGTGTCTTTCATGAATAGATAAATGAAATCTATTAAAAAAAAATTCCATCAGTCTATCCTTCCTTGTATTAAGAACCTCCATTTATGGGGTGTCTGGCTGGCTCAGTCTGTAGAGCATATGACTCTTGATCTCGGGGTCTGTGTTCAAGGCCCATGTTGAGTCTTAAGAAAAAAGAGAAGAGAAAATCTCCATTTATTGCTAATGAGATATCAGCCTGTGATAGACTTCTATCATATACCTGCTATATACCTAGTTCAGTTGTTCTCACAACCCTGGCTGAATATTTGATTTTAAGCTTGGAGAGGTTTGAAACAAACAAACAAACAAAAAATCAGAGCTTAAAAAACAAATGAATCCCTGGATTCCAGGCAAAATATCTCAGATAAATCAAACATATGATCGGAGTTAAAAACACTGGAAACACTCAGCTATTATCAATAATCACTATCATCGGATGCCTGGGTGGCTCAGTGGTTGAGCGTCTGCCTTCGGCTCAAGTTGTGATCCTGGGATCCTAGGATCGAGTCCCGCATCAGGCTCCCCTCGAAGAGCCTGCTTCTCCCTCTGTCTGTGTCTCTGCCTCTCTCTGTGTGTCTTATGAAGAAATAAATAAAATCCTAAAAAAGAAAATCACTATCATTACCTAATAAATGCTACATGCCAGGCCAGTGGTTCCTAGACTTAAATTACTTGGGAATATTTAATTAATTTATTTATTCATGAGAGAGAGAGAGAGAGAGAGAGGGAGAGTGCCTGAAGGCAGGCACTAAACCGCTGAGCCACCTAGGGATTCCTACTTGGGAATTTTTAAAAAATTCCGAAGCCCTGGCCACATCTGATCAATTAAATTACAATCTCTGCAGGGAGTCATAGACATCAGTAATTTGTAAAGTTCCACAGGAGATTCCAATGTTTGGGAACTGCAGCTCCAGGTGCTTACTGATGCAATCCTAAAAGTAACATATAACAGGGCGCCCGGGTGGCTCAGTCAGTTAAGCATCTGACTTCAGTTCAGGCCATGATTTTGAGGTCCTGGGATGAGGCCTCGTAGAGCTGTGTGCTCAGTGGGGAATCTGCTTCTCCTTCCTCTGCCAACCCCGTGCCACCCCCACCCCACCCCAGCTCATGATCTTTCTCAAATTAAAAAAAAAAAAAAAGGCAATCTATAACAGAGGTTCCCCAACTCTGCTCCGCATTGGGGGTCACCTGGGACCTTTAAAAATTCAAACTAGGGGATCCCTGGGTGGCGCAGCGGTTTAGCGCCTGCCTTTGGCCCAGGGCGCGATCCTGGAGACCGGGGATCGAATCCCACATCGGGCTCCTGGTGCATGGAGCCTGCTTCTCCCTCTGCCTGTGTCTCTGCCTCTCTCTCTCTCTCTCTCTCTCTGACTATCATAAATAAATAAAAATTAAAAAAAAAAAAAAGGGCAGCCCTGGTGGCACAGCGGTTTAGCACCGCCTGCAGCCTGGGGTGTGATCCTGGAGACCTGGGATCGAGTCCCACATCGGGCTTCCTGCATGGAGCCTGCTTCTTCCTCTGCCTGTGTCTCTGCCTCTCTCTCTCTCTGAATAAATAAATATTTAAAAAAAATTAAAAAAATAAAAAATAATAAAAATTCAAACTTAGTCTGGCTGCACATTTTTCTAACAATTGTTCTATTTGTTGAATAAATGAATAAATTATTCCTAACATATTGCTAACCATTCTGCCCCTTAGGATTTTATGGAGGAGAAAACAGAAACCCAGAAGTTACTCAAATATGCCAGAAGTCATACAGCTGGTGGAAGGAGCCCAGACTCCCTCCCATGCCCAGACTCCAAGCCCTTGCTCTTTATCCCATGCTGCTGGTGCTTGAATAAAGGGCTGTGCCAGGCTGGCCCCCTAGGCCTCACCTCAATGATGAAGTTCCCAATCTCATCTGGGTTGGCTGGACGTGGACGGTACATGGGTGTGGGGATGAAGGTTGGTGCCACATCGTTGCGGAGAACCACCTCAGGCCGGGCCTCCAGACCCCGGTGGAGTTGGGTGATGTCATAGTCCTTCATGGAGGTGAAGTAGAGCATGGGACTGAGAAGGCAGCCCCCCCCAGTTTAGGCAGCCCACTCCCCTGCCACGTGGGTTTCTGGTTCACGGGTAGGTCTTAGAAGACAATCTTTGCCAGACATTTTCGAAAGCCCTCATTTCCACAGCCCCTCCTCAGAAATCAAGCATAGCCTCAAGGCCATCTTGGCTGGGGTCAAAGGGACTATAGCACTGGAGCAGATACCCTCTCAGAAGAGGAGAGTTGGTAGTCAATCCTACATGAAAATTGACACCTTAGGCCAGAGTCTGGTCAAAGTAGCTGGTGTGGTTAGTTGGTTGACTCAGCCACCTTCACCAGTGGCCTTAGGGGCACCCATCTCCCGACCCCTAGACCTCCTTATACCTTACCTGGTCCTCCTCACCACCTCCCTCTTCGCCGTAGTAGAAAACATTGTCACGGGTATCGTCTTCCGGGAGCAGAAGGGGCTCCTTCACCTTCCTCTTCCTCCTCACCAACAAGAGGAGCACCAGCAGGAGGACTGGAAGAGTCAGGGAGGGTAAATTAAATGTTCACCCTTCACACACACACAGCTGGCCAGTACCCCCAAACCCTCAGAGCCTCACCCAAGTTTAGACCCCCCTACTCAGTAGCCAGGGCTTAAAATACTTTTCTTTTTTTTTTTTTTTTTTAAAGATTTTATTTATTTATTCACGATAGACATAGTGAGAGGCAGAGACACAGGCAGAGGGAGAAGCAGGCTCCATGCCAGGAGCCTGATGCGGGACTCGATCCCGGGTCTCCAGGATCACGCCCTGGGCCAAAGGCAGGCGCCAAACCACTGAGCCACCCAGGGATCCCAGCCACCCAGGGATCCCTTAAAATACTTTCAATGGCTCCCCTGCACCTAGGAAAACCCCTAATCCTTATCCAAGTGTATGGGATTGGCCTCTGCCTGTCTCCACACACATATGCACATGCCTGCATGGGGTCAGTCACACTGGCCTCCTTGGAGTCCCTCAAATACACCCTGCTTCAGGATCTTCATTTGGGCTTTCCTCACCTGGAACACTGCGCACACACGCATACACACATACACACACACACATGGCTCTCCCCCTTCACGCCTTGGCCTACTATCGCCTCCTCCTAGCAGCAACCTGACTTCGTTCCCTCCAGTAATTCTGTATCATTTATTGCCAGTCTTCTCTCATCGGTGATAAAGGTCCTCAAGGAAATTCTCTGGGGGATGGGAATCTCCTAGCAGATGTTACTTTTCACGTCTGCTTTTTCAGTCCCTAAGTGACACCTAAATTAACCACAGACTTTCAGTGGAAAGCAAGACCGTGCAAGTCTGATAAGGTGTAGTAATTTGAATATAGGTTTTGGTATTTCAAGAGGACTGGCCTTTAGTGCTATGGTTTGAAAGGCTGACAGCCTATTTGGACATGGGGGTAGTGGACAACTGATGCCTGGCTGTTCTCCCTAATGCCAGAACCACCTTCAGTTAATCCCATATAAAGAAGGGACTCCAGGGCTCTCTCTGTGGCTGTTCAGTAGGAGAGAATACAACCACTATTTACCTTTACCACTTTTTTGGCCTGTTTATAGAACTGATGTTTATCACTGGCCAGAGAAAACAGACCTAGCCTTCTTGGGGAGTCTACGGGTTGTCAGAATGCACAGCCTATGGAGGCTTTGCTGCAATCTTTTTCTCCTCTTTTCCTCCCCACTGAATCTGGGGGAAAGGGGGGAGGTGAACTGGACTTTTCACCTGCAACAAAGCTTATATATCTGCCTACTGGTATCTCCATTCGGACTGCCTGGCAATTCTCTTCCCATGATCTTTTCCAAACTGGTTAATGGAAACTCCAGTTTCTACTTGTTCACGTCTTAAAAAAAATTGATGGTTCTTTTCCTCATACCACATATGAACCCGAACTGATTCTGCCTTGAAATATGACCATCTCTCACCATCTTATCCCTAGATTATGGCAATAGCTCCTTAACAGTCTCCCTGTCTCCACCCTTACCAGTCTGTTTAGTAGAATCCTATAAAAAATCAAGTCAGATCACATCACTGGTTTGCTCTAAACCCTCTGATGACTTCTCATTTCTCCAGATCCTTGCAATAGCCTACAAGGCCCAACATGATGCCCCACCACAGCCATCACCTTTCTGACTTCATTTCCTACTTTTGTCCCTTGTGTTTTTTCCACTCCAGCCATTTGTCACTTCTGCACACCAAGCGCAGTGCTGCCTCAGGGCCTTTGTACTTGCTGTTCCTGAGATATCTGCATGATTTGCTTCCTCACCTCTTTCCGGTCTTTTTTTTTTTTTTTAATTTTATTTATTTATTCTGAGAGACACAGAGAGAGAGAGAGAGAGGCAGAGACACAGGCAGAGGGAGAAGCAGGCTCCATGCAGGAGCCCAACGTGGGACTTGATCCTGGGACTTGAGGATCCCACCCTAGGCCGAAGGCAGATGCTCAACTGCTGAGCCACCCAGGTGTCCTGAATTCATATTTGATTAAATATGTTTCTGTGTAAGGACCAATTCAGAGAGTGGAAAAAAGTAAATGTGACAGGTTCTATCTTTAGAGTAAAGAACTCGGTTTGTAACTAAACACTTCTGCCCACTAGACCAAGGACTCTCAAACTCTAGCATGAATCAGAACTCTGGAGGGCTTCTTAAAACACAGATTCCTCACCAAAAAACCAAAAAAAACAAAAAAAAAACAAAAAAACCAAAAAAACACAGATTCCTGGGTCTTACCCCTAAGTTTCTGAATCAATGGGTCAGGAATGGGCCTGAGAACTGGCCTTTCTAACAAGTTCCTGATCCTGCTGATGCTGTTTGTTGGTCTGGAGACCACACTTTCAGAATTACTGCGCCAGCCTCTAGATGACATGACAGCAGGGCTGAGTCTGTTGGTTCACCACTGTATCCCCAAAGCCTGGCACATTCCAGAAGCTCCATAAACATCCATCACCTGAATGACACCAGGAACTGATGGGTGATGTTGGGGATGCAGGTCAGGGTAGAATTGGATCTTCTAACTACCCCAGCAGGTCAGGGTAGAATTGGATCTTCTAACTACCCCATCCTTACAGGGGGGAGGGCACCGGTACTCACGCAGCAGAGCCAGGACAGCCCCCAGGAGCGGGAGGAGGAAGCCCCACTTCCAGCGGTGGGGGCAGGTCTCCACGTGGCCGTGGCAGTCACACACGGTGGCTTTGATTACTGTCAGCTGTTCCTTGTTGCCATGGTCAGCCAGGGAAAGATGCACATCATATGTGTCTTGCTTCAGGAACTTCTTCAGGGACAAAGCAACTGTGCTTTCTGGAGCAGACAGATGACATTTACCCGGGAGGCCACAGTGGAACTGAGCATATCCTGTCGGAGTTAAGGAGACTGCCTCTCCATCTGGGCAATTAGTGAGAAATGCCCCAAAAGCACACTTACGCCAAGTGTTAAAGATTAATGTTTGGCCAAAGCCAAGTTCACTATCATGGAAAGGATTATTGGGATAACAAAATAAATTCATCATTTTCTTTTTTTTTCCATATTTTATTTATTTATTCATGAGAGACACACAGAGAGAAGCAGAGACATAGGCAGAGGGAGAAGCAGGCTCCATGTAGGGAGCCCAATGGTGGGACTCAACCCTGGGACCCCAGGATCACGCCTTGGGCCGAAGGCGGCGCTAATCGCTGAGCCACCTGGATTGCCCCATCATTTTATTTACTTAAAATCAAATCAATATTCACAGCATTTTTAAGATAATGAAGTTTTTAAAAAAGTCATGGCAGGCAGGGCCAAGAGTTCTCAGCAACTTTAGCTGCTTGGCTGTTCTCAAAAAGAACACATTGAAATATATCCTTCCTAAGATAACTAACCCCATCTTTTAATATTCACAGTAACTGACCACTTGTTTTCCTATTTGAAAGTTCACTACCATTTATTATTACAGCATTTATAGTAATAGTAAATATGTTTATGTCTCAACTGTCTGATGGAACTTCATTATTTGAAACACTGGTATTTCTGTGAAATTATCAATTTTTAAAAAAGATTTATTTATTTGAGAGAGAGCACGAGAGAGCGCATGTGTGAGTGCACGAGGGAGGGGCAGAGGGTGAGGGTCTCCAGCAGGCTCCACGCTGACCGCAGAACCTGACACAGTGCCCGATCCCATGGCCCCAGGAACATGACCTGGGGTTGGATGCTCAACCGACTACACCACCCAGGCACCCTGAGAACATCAATTATGAACAAATCCAAATTCACAGGACTTGTTGATATAACTGGCATTGTCCGGCAGATCAGAGAGGCTTCCAAACTGTGCTGTCACAGCATTCATGATGCACACAAGTTCAGGGGTGCTGGCTACGAGGCTGCAGTGGACATGGTGCTAACTGGCCTTCAAAGGCTTTGGGCGCGTGGCAGGTTGGACACAAAGCAGAAGCCAAGTCCTGCACAAGGTGTGGCCATCCTAGAATGGGGAAGAGGGCTATGTTTGTGGGTGAGAAATATAGGGTCAGGGGTCTCTCAGAAGAAAGGCCTTCAGTTTAGACTTCTCACGGAAGGAGCTATTAGCCTGTGCAGTGTGATTTCTCATCATGCAGGACTCTCCCAAGCATTACAGATTCTTGTCATTAAATGCCAGGAGTGTCCCCAGTCATTGGGGCAACCAAAAACCATCCCACCTTTCTAGCTCACCCACCCTCAGGGTTGCCAGCGTATTTCAGCATGGACTCTTTTTTTTTTTAAAAGATTTATTTATTCATGAGAGATACACAGAGAGAGGCACAGACACAGGCAGAGAGAGTAGCAGGCTCCTCACAGGTAACCAGATGTGGGACCCGATCCCGGGACCAGGATCATGCCCTAAGCCAAAGGCAGACGCTCAACTGCTAAGCCACCCAGCTGTCCCTTCAGCATGGACTTTAAGCAACTTTTTGTTCAGAGATCCTGCATATACATTGGGCTCCTCTTAGCAAAAAAGCCAGAAGGGAGAATTTGCTATGTTCCTGTACAGTAACGGAAGGTAGACAGGGAGCTCTGCAGGCTGAATATTTAGTCCACCAAAGTCATGGAGGTCAATGTGGGGTACTTCATCAAAACATCTCTACCACCATCATGTCCCCATGCTGGAGGGAGGATTTCTCAGGTGACTGTGATGATGGTGGTGCTGGTAACTAAGGGGACACTAACTGGGTACAAGGCTCTACTCTATCTTCACTGACACTTTAAGAGGAGGCACTATTAGCCTCATTTTACAAATGCAGAAATTGAAGCTTAGGGAGGCTAAGTAACCAGACTGAGGTCACACAGGAGTAGAATTTGGATTAACTCCCCTGACAACAAGGACATGGTCATGTTAATTAAAACAAGAACCAGGGGCATCTGGGTGGCTTAGCAGACATCTTAAGTGTCTGCCTTTGGCTCTCGGGTCATTATCCCTGGGTCCTGGGTTCAAGCCCTGAATCAAGTTCCCTGCTCAGACAGGAGCCTCCTTCTCCCTCTCCCTTTGCCCTTCCCCCTGCTTGTGCTCTCTGGCTTGCTCGCTCTCTCAAATACAAAAAGTTAAAAAAAAATAACCACCCGCCCACAAGAACCAGGAGCACCTGAGTGGCTCAGTTGGTTAAGTGTCTGCCTTCAGCTCAGGTCATGATCATGGGGTCCTGGGATTGAGCCCCACATTGGGTCCCCCAACTTAGCAGGGTGTCTGCTTGTTCCTCTCCCTTGCCCCTCCCCGGTTCATATTCCCTCTCTCTCCCCCTCCCTCCCTCTCAAATAAATCTTAAAAAAACAAAACAAGCAAAGAACTCCCCAAGAACCAGGTATCAATACTATAACCAGGTGTTGGTACTAGGCTTTGGCCATAATGTTCACACCTGACCGAGCCAGATCTGTGATTGCCGCTGGGGAAGAGTGCTAGTAAAGGTGGCTGCTCACATCTATTGAGCACTGATGTACCAGACAAGAAGCCTCTCACATAATCACCTACTTTATCTTCACAGGAACTAGATGGAAGTAGGTACAATTACTGGCACCATTCTATAGACCGGGATAACTGATGATCAGTGCAGTTCAGTTATTTGCCCATAATCACAGAGCTAGTAAACAGAGGAACTGGGTCTGGAACCAAGGCATCCCGGTTCCAGAGTCCATTGTCTGTAAACGCTAAGATCAGGGAGGAGAAAAAATGGCTTCTAGGCCACAAGGGGGTGACAGGAGACCAACTTGGGCTTGTTAAAGACAAGGTGCCCGACATTATATACTCAAATCACAATAATCATAAAATTGACACAATCTGGGTGTCTGCAGCATGTCTCCTGAGTCCTTTGTGGGCTGTGCTGAGTGCAGTACTAGACATTGGGCATTTGGTTCCTTCTGGGCAGAATCTGTGTGCACTGGTTCCCTATTTTCCTCCTGGTGCACCCCAACCCCAAGAGGAAGTGGGGGGGACATTTCAAACCAAAGTCAACACTGTCACTCACTCCAGGGGCCTTACTGGCATTTGGGGCTGGATTTTTCACATATCCTAGGTCCTCATTCACTTGACGCCATTAGACCCCTTGCCAGGGCAGGATGGGAAAGAGAAAGGATAGGGTAGTAGATGGAAGCAGGTGTGTAACGGCCTGGGACTGTGGCTTCAACTTCTGCTCCATACTCACACACTCTGTGCCCTTGGGCATGCTACTTAACCCCTCTGAGCCTCATTGTCATCTGTAAATGTGGATGAAAACATTGACCACAGAGGGTGGTAGAAATATTAAAGAAAGAGGGGATCCCTGGGTGGCTCAGCGGTTTAGCACCTGCCTTCGGCCCAGGGCCTGATCCCGGAAGCCCGGGATCAAGTCCCACGTCGGGCTCCCTGCATGGAGCCTGCTTCTCCCTGCCTGTGTCTCTGCCTCTCTCTCTCTCTCATGAATAAAAAAATAACATCTTTAAAATAAATAAAATAAGGAAGGAAGGAAGGAGGGAAGGAAGGAAGGAAGGAAGGAAGGAAGGAAGGAAGGAAGGAAGGAAGGAAGGAAGGAAGGAAGGAAGGAAGGGCGAGCATCTTGTGTAATACCAGGGATCAATAAATGGTAGGCAGCAGCACACCAACGGTAAGTCAGACTGCCTGGATTCAAAATCTGGTGGCATCACTTTCTAGCTGTAATGCCTCTGCCAAGATCTTTCACCTTCTGAACTTTCTGTAAGCCTGGTTTCTCACCTGTAAATGGGGCATACGCACATAGATGTGGGTTTCTGTGAGAATTGAGTAACCTCATCTATGAAGCGTCCGAAGTGCTGTCTAGCACATAATAAGCATGCTCATGGCATGTGAGCTATTATCACTGCAGGAGTCCTGGCTCCTTCATTATGTGATACCTCACACATCCTGGTCCATATTCCCCACCCCCCACCTCAGTTTTTCGAACTGTACAGAAAGGTGGTTGGGCTAGAGCATTCTTGAAGGCTTAAACTAAGTTAATAACTAGCATTTGGTTGACTTTCAAATGCAGACCATAACGTGGACAGGGTCCTCATATGGGGCACACGCCCACCTACCACCACCACGCAGTTACCTTTCTCATTGACCTCTGCAGTCCAGTAGATGTCCGAGTCGTGTGTGAGCTGGGCCTGGAAAGGGGAGGTGTGGGGGGACAGGTCCTTGTCCGTGATGTTCAGCATTTGGGGCACAGGACTTTGGTTGCAGATGGTGATCCAACGGGGCTCAGGGACTGGGCCATGGTCATTGACGTCCATAAGTGTTAGCAGGAGGGTCCCAGTGCCAGTGGTGGGAGGGCTCCCTGTTCATAATGAAACATAGATCCCTTTTCAGCATATGCCCATGGTGGGGGTGATGAATTTTGAGCTCTATGACCTACCCAGTCAGCCTCAGGGAGGTTCCTGTTCACTGCCCAGCTGTAACTTTTCAAGACCCTCCATGCCCCGCTCTAGTCTCATCATCGGTCAAACCAGTGATGGCAAGTCCATGGCAATCATGCCATCATTCTGATAGCAGACATTCCTAACTGATCATAGGACAGTTACAGCCACTTCATCCATATGGCCACTACCAATCTATCACAAAGGGAAACCTATTGGCCACCCCAGGACTGATGCAATGTTTGCTGATGAGCTTTAAGGATGTCACCCTTCACAGTCCTGCTGGGACTTCTCACCTGTTTCCAGGCCTTGCTTCACTGTGTCAAGCAGAGATGTCAAATCACATCACAACTCCCAACTCTGTCACAGTGTGACATCACTAATCAATCATGGCCCTTTCCCGGCAGCCCCTTTCAATCAAATCACAAGGTTTAGGAAACTGACAGGCCAATTCAGGGCTCAGTGAACTACACACGTGGGCCGAAAGAAATCCTTCTCCTAACACCTGGATCTTAGGGAAACCATAGCCAGCCAATCCTAGTCTTTAGAAATCTCCTCTGAAAGTCTTCCTTGACCCTTCAGATAGGTTTGCTGGTACCCATGCTATGTCTGTGGAGGGGATGTGTTATGTCATGGGTTCCAAAGGTACCCAAGTGGAGGCTTTTGGAGGAAGTTCTCACCATCATCTGTGGCCAAGACCATGACTTCGTAGACATTGTTCTTCACGAACCGTTCATCCTCACGGTCTAAGACCCCTGTGGCTGTGACCTGCCCACTGTCTGGGTCCATTGCTAGCCACCCGGCTGGGTCTCTCAGGATGTGGTAGCTGGAATGGAAAAGTTGAGAAGAGTCATACCTAGAATACTTAGAATTCTGGTTGTCATTCAAAGCCTACTCATTCCAACTGGCAGATGGTGTCATGGGACTCAGGGCTCCTAAGCGGGATCACATGAAAAATGAACCTCAACCCTAAATGGGAGCCTGAGCAGCAGGGAGATGGCCCAGCAGGGACACATGAGGGGGAGGGGGTATACCTGCCCCCCTGGATCTCTGTTCAGAGTCTTCAGCCCTGGGGAGTGTAGGAAGGGAAGGCCCTGTGTAGGGGCGATGTTCAGTATATTTAGCAATCTTTATGGTAATTAGAACAAATGCAGACCATACTATATAGCCCATCCAATACTACTACTGCTTTTGGATGCATTCGAGCCCAGCTCCCGTGTACCTGATCTTCTGACCCCCCTTGTCGGGATCCTGCGCAATGTAGGTGCAGACAGTCTCCCCGATAGCGATGCCCTCCTGGACCTCGACGACTCTGGAGGGTGGGACGAACACAGGTGCCTCATTCACATCCTCCACATGGACTACCACGGTGGCCGTGGAGGTCGGGAGTTTCACCACAAAAGGTGCCTCATTGGTCACTTCGATGTACAGAATGTGCTGGTTTTTGGCCTCGAAGTCCAAGCCCTGAGAGAGAAGAAGAGGGAGGACCTGAGTTGCCAATTTGTGAGGAGGACCCATTGCAGTGCTGTGATGGCAGAAAGAAAGGACCAACAGGGAGGGGTTCGAGGCTCCCAACATCAACAATGCTGTCCTTTCTGGGGCGTCTGGGGGGTGCAGTCAGTTAAGCGTTTGACTCTTGGTTTCAGGAGTTGTGACCGAGCCCCACGCAGAGGCCCGCATCATGCTCCAGGCTGGGGTTGAGCGTGCTTCAGTTTCTCTCTTTCTCCCTTTCCCTCTGCCCCTCCCCACCCTCTCTAAAATAGATAAATCTTTCAAATAGAAATGCTGTCCTTTGCGTAAAGCCTCCTGAACTTTTTTTTTTTTTTTTGAGGGAGTACAGGGGCAGAGGGAGGGAGAGAAAGAATCTTAAGCAGGCTCCAGGGCCGAGCCCGATGCAGGGCTTGGTCTCCCGACCTTGAGATCGTGGCCTGAGCTGAAACCAAGAGTCAGATGCTTAACTGTCTGAGCCTCCTGGGCACCCCAGCCTCCTGCACTTTCTGAGTGGCTGATGGGGCCTCTCAGACCAAACCTAGACCAGGAAGCCCTAGAACTGCTTTCCAATGGGGTGGTGGCCTTGTAGGGGTTGTTGTAGAAACTTTCGGAGGCCTTTCCGGTTGTCATAATGACTGGGGACGCTGTTGGCATTTCTAGGCTAGGGCAGGGACACAAAGAACTGTCCCCACAGGCCACGGGACTTGCCAATATCCCCTCGGACATTCACATATGCATGGGTGTGAAACATCTGTTTATAGTTAAATGTTTTACATATAAACTAAGTTTTTGGTGTGGTTTTAATATATAGTGACCTTTCTAGGAGTGCAACTTCTGAGGGGAGCTTGTCATTTGATTTGTTCAGGCTTTTCCCTGAAAGCTGTTTTTTTTTTTTTTGCTATTCTGTAAAGACATCAGTATGACTTGTGGTATGCATGAGCCACCCGAGTGACACGCAGCATCCACTGCATTTGGACGATTCTACAGAGAGATGCAAGTAATTGACCACGTCATTATGTTTTCTCGTATGCACCCAAGTTTACATATAGAACTATCTTATTATCAGTAACTTTTCCTGTAAAAGCCTCCTTTATTTCACAGAGAATTCTACATTTCTAGAAATTGTGTAAATTGGATAAGTTATATTATAAATGAAATTTATTTCACAATATAAAAAGGGCAGTACAAAGTTTTGGGTGCAAGAAGGGGATAGTCATAAACGTATTATATAAGGGGCGCCTGGGTGGCTCAGCGGGTTAAGCATCTGCCTTCAGCTCAGGTCATGATGTCATGATCTCAGGGTCCTGGGATGAGCCCCATGTCAGGCTCCCTGCTCAGCACAGAGTCTGCTTCTCCCTCTCCCTCGGCCCCTCCCCCTTCTCCGGATCTCTCTTGCTTTCTCTCTTCATCTCTCAAATAAATAAATGAAATCCTTAAAATAAAAAAAGTATTATATAAGACCCTGCTTCTCAAACTAGGCCATTCTTCAAAATAAACCAGGAGGTAAAAGAAATCAAAGAAAGATCAAGCCCATTTTCTTAAAGCATCAGTTTTATTGAATGACTTTTTAAGAGGCAACCATATCTCACTATTAAGTAACTTAAAACATTTTACTGTGCAAAAACCTACATATGTATTATGGATAAAATGTAAAACTAGTAAGAATTCCACTAAAACAGAGACTTTCTGTGTGAGAAGACCAACTGGGGGCAGCCATGGACACCAGGATTTGGGAGGAGAGGCTCCACTAATGTGCCTCAATCACATCTGGGATTCTGACCTCTTTTATGAATTGAGTCCCTTGGTAAGACTTACTTTGAACAAATTCATTCCCTAACACAAGAGGGATGGGAAAGTGTCAGAAGCCTGGTACACTCCCTGTGAATTATGGTGAATGTTCCAGAGCAGGTGTCACAAGGCAGGTGGTATACATCCTTGTACTGGAGGCTGAAGACCTGACTAACCCAGGGGTGGCCCTTGTCTAAAGCCCAAACTGACTCACCTTTCTGGTCGTCAGGATGCCCTGGTTGGTCTCTGGGTGGGTGGTGATGCTAAAATGGTTCCCGTCATCACCTTCCAAGATGTGGTAGGTGGCGTGCCAGGCCGGTGAGTTGGGGGCATCCAGGTCACTCACTGTCAGCCTCTGCACCTCATGGCCCACCATGTTCTCGGGTACACGGGCCTCGTACTGTTGGTGTGGGAAGCACAGCGTAGTCAGAGCAGAGGGCTCTCTACCCACCCTGAGACTGTTCCACTCTTCACCAGCTATGGATCCTCCATGCAATTCCAGGGGAGCTCCATGCCACTCACTCTTTCTGGGACCGCCCAACCCATATATCAGGGTTTCAGGGCACACACATGCACATAGTCCCAAGTATCAGCTGCTGGGACAGACCACAGGGATCTTGAACCTACCTTCCCTACATCCAGGGGCAAAATACCCCAGTCATCTCACTGGTCTGGGTGCCCTAAACCCTGCCATGCATAGCCCACCCATCCAGCTGAGGTCAGAAAGGTATGAAGAAGGTGGTGAGAAAGACTAGGTGCCTGACTGCCATGTGGCACTGATTAGGAACTTTTTTGGAAGTTCTGGAACAGGTGGCAAACAATGGGATTTCAGTTGCTCAGAACAAATTTTTAATCAAGCCTAAATAATATTTAGTAGCCAAAGTTATCTAAAGATGGAAGGGGGGTGGGTGTCATCCCGATTGGCACAGAGTCCTCTGTCACTGGAGGTATACAAGGCATTCACTAGGTGAAGGTGGGCAAGTATGGTGAGGCAAATTTTAAGTTTTCATATCGACAAGGATTTTCTTTTTTTTTTTTTTTTTAAAGATTTTATTTATTTATTCATAAGAGACACAGAAAGAGAGAGGGGCAGAGGGGCAGAGGGAGAAGTAGGCTCCATGCAGGGAGCCCAATGTGGGACTCGATCCCGAGACTCCAGGATCATGCCCTGGTCCGAAGGCAGCCGCCAAACCGCTGAGCCACCCAGGGATCCCCCTCGACAAGGATTTTCTTTCTTTGTCTCTCTCTTTCAGTAAAGTCTACTCCCAGTGTGAGGCTTGAACTCATGACACCAAGATCAAGAGTCATGTGCTCCAATGATTAAGCTTGGCTAGCCAGGCGCCCCTCGACAAGGATTTTCATATTGAGCTCTTATGTACCAGGGATTGTTATGAACTGTACAGAGATTATTCCATTTAAAACTCAGAAGAGGGGCACCCGGGCGGCTCAGCTGGTTAAGCGTCTGCCTTCTGCTCAGATGATCCCGACTTCCTGGGAGTGAGCCCTACCTCGGGCTCCCAGCTCAGTGGGGAGCCTGTTTCTCCCTCTCCCTCTGCCTGCTACTCTCTTTTTGTGCTCTCTCATGCCTCTCTCTCAAATAAATAAATAAAATCTTAAAAAAAAAAAAAAGAAAACTCAGAACAATGCAGTAGGTAATATGGTTTCCACCTCACAGATTAGGAAATCGGGGCACAAAGAGGTTAAGTTGTTTGCCTCTGGTCACACACTAGGAAGTGGTGGGACGGGATAGCAAGCAATGTGAGCTGCTTTCAGAATTTCATTAGAAAGGAAAACCTTGGACAGAAAAAAAAAAAAAGGAAAACTTCAGTCCTCTATCACCTGCTGAGGGAAGAAGGATTGAAAGTGCATTTACCTTCTGAGGATCAAACACGGGAGCATTGTCATTAGCATCGAGAATTTCCACTATGGCCACTGCAGTGGTAGTAGAACCATCCCCGTCCATGTCTGTCGCCTGGATGGTCAGAGTGTACTCAGGGACTCTCTGGGGACGAAAGGAGGTTCAAGTTGAGGGGTCCCTGAGCCTGGGCTCCCAGAGGCATAGCCCTGGATGGATGGCTGTGGAGGGAAGGGGAGTATGTCCCCCACCTCCCAGTGTTCTCTTAAATCCCTGGCCCACTGCTTACCCACTGCAGGAAAGAACAGAGGCAGGGGCGGGGCGGGGGGCGGCAGGAATACAGACCCAAATAGTTCTCCTGGGCCAACCGGGGGTGGAGTCCGGTCTGGGCATTGCCCCCTGGCCCTGGGGTGATGCAGAATGGGAGCTTTGAGTGGGGATTTGGGCAACAGTATTAATTAGGAAACAGTAGGCAAATCCAATATCCATGGAGCTAATTCTACTTTGTAGCACACAAGGGACAAATATGGGAAATGTGCATGCTAAGTGAGCCATTCCGAGAGGAAATGAGAAAACCTACAGAAAATATCAAATGCCTGCATTTTACAGCTGGCTCCTCAGCCTTAACGAGATCATTTGGCACCACGCCATTGGCTCTAGAGAGCTGTGGGACGTCAACATGGGAACACAGCAAGCAGCAGCCATTCCCAGTTGACCTGGATACTCACTGCTCTGCCTTGGGCTTTGGGGCACGGATGGGGGCTCTACTCTCGAGCGTCAGGCTCCAGCCTGAGCAAGCCTGGGTAGGCAGCACTTTCCCTGAGAGCCACTCACCTCCCGGTCCAGGCCACTGGAGATGACACTGATGGTGCCCGTGCTCCGATGGACAGTGAACATGAGGTCATGTGGGTCCTTTGGCTCCTGGCTATGGATAGAGTAAGCAACCACCCCATTATAGGTGTTGATGGCATCGTCCTCATCTGTGGCTGTCACCTGCATCACAGAAGTGCCTAGAGGGGAGAAGGAATGAATGAACGAGCACCCTTCCCTCTTAGCTCCAATTCCAGCCTCGCCCACTTTTCAGAACTCTGAGAGGCTCCACCCTGCCCATTAGCTTGGACCCTTATTCCACTTTGTGGCAGATTGATACTTGGTGTTCATTTTCCATTCTTCACGTCTTTCTTGGAAACAAAATCCTCATAACCATTTTAAGCTGAGCACAGTCCTGTCTGGAACGAAGACTATTTCCCATCCCTTCTTGCAGTTAGTTAGCTATGTCTTTGAGACTAAATTCTGACAAATGGTATATACAACTTTGGGGAATGTGCTTTTTTGAGGATGGGGCTTATTCTCCTCACCCACCACTTCCAGGTGTAACCGCTGGAGCTCTAGCAGCAACCACGAGGTAATCTTGGAAATAAAGCCCAAATAGGGGATCCTTGGGTGGCTCGGTGGTTTGGTGCCTGCCTTCGGCCCAGGGCATAAGCCTGGAGACCAGGGATCGAGTCCCACATCAGGCTCCTGGTATGGAGCCTGCTTCTCCCTCTGCCTGTGTCTCTGCCTCTCTCTCTCTCTGTGTGTCTCTCATGAATAAATAAATAAAATCTTAAAAAAAATGCAAAAAATAAAAAAAAAAAAAAAAATAAAGCCCAAATAGCAGAGCAACTAGAGAGAAGGGGCCTAGATTGAAGCACCATTCAAGCCTTGATTGTCCACCTGTAGGCTTCCTATTATAAGGATAAAATGAGGTTCCATCTCATTTAAGGTGCTGTTTTTCTTTGGGGGATTTCTATATTGGCAATCTAGCCAACTCACACTTCTTGAATTCTCCACAACTCAGAAAGGAAGGAAGAGAACTCCTCCCCAGTAGCATCTGTCTTTGAGGTCATTATGTATTATATCTTAATCTTGACAATTCTTTACAGGTCACATTGTTTCCATTTTCTTTCTTTTTTAAAAAAATGGTTTTATTTATTTATTTATTTGAGAGAGAGAGAGAGAGAGAGAGAGAGCGAGCGAGCGCAAGTGGGGGGAGGAGCAGAGGGAGGGAGAGGGATAAGCAGACTCCATGCTGAGTGCAGAGCCTGATGCAGGGCCCGATCCCAGGACCCTCAGATCATGACCTGAGCTGAAACCAAGGGTTGGACACTCAACTGCCACCCAGGTACCCCCATTGTTCCCATTTTCAGATGTGAAGATTGAGGCTCAGAAGTAAAGAACTTGCCCAGGGTTACAGCAAAAGAGGTCACAAGTAAAGAGGCAAATCAAGATTCAAATCTAGATCTTTGTAGCTCCAAAGCTAGTGGTTCTCAAACATGGCTGATCATCTGAAGCTTCTGGGAAATTTTTAAATACACAGATTCCAGGCCATACTCTAGGATCATTCTTATTCAGGGATCTTGGGATGGAGTGGGAGACTCTGAATATTTAAGATGATCCCAGGTGATCTAATACAGAGCCGAGGAAATCAGGTATGGAGGGTTCTTCCAGCCTTTAGGGGTCTGGTCAGACCTCTAGATGGTTCCAGAAGTTGACCCAAGGCTGTCTGGGCCCAGGGAACCTCTCTCTCCAGCTGTCCCCTCCCCCATCCTCTTACCAGGCAGTACCCCTTCCAAGACGCTCCCTCTGAAAATATCCTGGGTGAACTTGGGCTTGTGGTCGTTCTGGTCTGTGACAATGATGGAGATGTTCATGGGGTCTTCCACTGAGGCACCGTTCTCTGATACGGCGTGGCCATAGAGCTGTGGGTGCACAGGTGTGGGGTCAGCCTGGCCCCGCCCTCCCCACCTGGCCATGGGGCCCTGCTTCTTGGCAGACGCTGCAGGTTACTTGCCTCATACTTTGCAATCTTCTCCCGGTCCAGTGGCTTATTCAACAGCAACCAGCCTGTTTCCTTCTCTATGGTGAAGATACCCTCAGGGGGGCTGTCTGCACCGGGCCCTGTGATGCTGTAGAAAATCTTGGTGCCTCTGTCCTTATTAGATTTGAGCTAGAAGCAAAAGAAAATGTCAGCTGACAAAGTCTCAACTATCTCACGATGGTGACAGAGATGGAGAGGGGTGGTGGAGAGGCACTGCCTTATCCGAATCCGCTCCCATGGCAGAGGCTCTAAGGAGCAAGAAACCCCATCAGCGGGCTTTTCGATGAAGGTCCCTGCGGCCAGCAAGGACTCCACAGGAGAAGGCGCAATTGTACCTGATTCAGCCTCTGGGGGAAGGGGCCCTTGCCATTCTCAGAGACAGAGATCGGTGGAACCACCCATTCTCTCTTTTGTCTTCGCAAGACACGGTCGAATGGAAAGATCTTCAATGCTTTCCTTTCCTGCAAGGAGAGGGGACCGCTTAACCCAGACATGCAGACACCTGACATCCTCTCACTTACAGAAGTTAAGAGTGAGGAGAGAGACCTAAATGGGTTTACTGCAAAAGACAAATTGAAAATAATCCTAAGTGTTCATTTATAGAGAACCAATCAAATACATCCTAATACTTCCATCTAGTGGAAGTGCCATACAGCACTAAAAATGAGGAATGAGGAAGTCTATGTGCTGGTACGGAAAGATCTTGGATATATGCTATTAAATGAAAAAGAACAAGGTATTTTATTTAACAAATTAACGGAGCCAGTATGTACCATCTTTGGTGTGAAAGGGTAGGAAAATAAGACCATGTATTCACAGTGGCTCATATATAAACAAAATGTGGGGAGATATAAAAAAGAAATTAAAGGTAGGGTTATCTGTCAGAAGGAGACAGTATGCTCATCTATTTTTAAGTGCAGAAAGAAGGTGCAGACACGTGAATAGTACACTAGCTTTTGCATAAAAGACAGGAGGAAAAAGAGTAATTGTGTATCTCTTTATGTATAAATACATAAAAATATATAATATGTTTAATATAAATATAGAATATATAAATAAACTTTAGGAGGAAAAAAACCTGGGAACAGTGGTTATCTGTGTCTAGCACAGGGCATTAGGTAAATGCAGAGAAACAAAGGGAGGTTATTTGCTGTGTACGTTTTTTCAATTTTTTTTTCTTTTTCTTTTTTGGAGAGAGAGTATGGACTGGGGAGGGTGGAGGGGGAAGAGGGAGAAGGAGAAGCAGACCCTTCGCTGAGCAGTGAGCCCCACGCGGGTCTCAATCTCAGGACCTCGAGATCATGACCAGAGTCCAAGGCAGGTGCTCAACTGACTGAGCCACCCGGGCACTCCTCATTGTGTAACTTTTTAATATTTTCAAATTTTTGAACCACGTGGCTATATTAGTTATTCAAAAAATTAAAAGAACAAAATGCCTCAGGTCTGTCTTCCCAGAGGCTCATGGGATTGGCAGCCCCGCGTTGGAATCACTTCCCCCCTGGGTTTAGCCAGATGATAAAGAAAAGAAGGAAACGGAGGTGGGAAGGGAATCCGAGGGGCCAAGGGCACTGGGTGATTGCACCCAAGGCAGTTCCTTGCGCCACAGGCCTGACTCTCTGGCGCCTCTATCGGGGTGTTGCAAGCTGTGGGCAGCTGAGGGCTAGCATGGCCTCCTCTGAAGAGGCAACGTGGTTCGCCATGGCCACAGCAACCAGGACGTCCCAGCCAGCAGCAAGCTGAGCATGCATGGAGAACATGTTTCTTCCACCTTGCCAGTGCACGTGGTATCTTACCTGGACTGTTCTATCATTCAGCACAGCGAAATCACTATCAGTGCTAAGCAGGGCTGACTCTTGCCCAGGGCAGTCCATGCAAATCACTGTGGGGAAGGAAGAAAGACGGTATTAGGAAGGAGGGGGCTTCTGGAAGTTACATCAGGGGAAGCAACACCTGACAACAGCCCCAACAGCTTTGGTCTCCATTGTGATCAAATAGGAGTTTCAGATGGGGCTTCCAACTTTGGTCTCAAGAGGAAGGCCAAAGGTTTGTGATTTGTGGGCCAAGCCCTTATCTGCTCCTGACACCAAAGAATCAAGATCATAGTCATTCAGCACATCGGCCCCAGGTGGTCTCATGAGACACAGGTTAACCCAAAGTCATACTTGGAGGAAGGAGACTGTCACCATTTCAGAAGACTAGGAGTCTACCTACATGCAATATGCATCCTGCTACTTGGCTGCCGACACAGATCATTCTGGACAACCTCTAGCTGTTCCTCTGAATCCCCCCCTTGCTTAGCCACCCTTTAAAGAAGCACTCTGAAGTGATAACTACCATTCAGGAAGCTAGAGACCATGCCCATTTCATTCTTACAACTACCTTAACAACCAAGGTAGGTAATTAGCTCCTTTGGAAAGATAAGAAAACTGAGGTTCAGAAGCCAGATGGGCCTTACTCTAGAGCATGTTCTTATCCACCCTTTCTTTTGGCCACCCTTTCTTGTGGCCAAAGCATGAAAAGAGGGGACCTGAGGGCCCACCTGGGCCCCTCAGCACCATGCTCTGTCCGTGTGGTTCCCTAATGCTGGCCCAGACACTGGTGTACACTGTTTCACTAGGTTCTAGCACAACCTGGCCCATAGGGACAGTGCCACAGAAAAAAAAAACTGTCCTTTTTTGAAAAATTTATCCTTTAGTCTCAGATGATGATTGGTTAATTTTTTCTTCTCCCTGCTGTCACCACTCCCTTCTTCCTCTATGATGACGATTGTTTAAAAAAATCATTACTGGGGGATGCCTGGGTGGCTCAGCAGTTGAGCATCTGCCTTTGGCCCAGGGCGTGATCCTGGGGTGCCGGGGTAGATTCCCACATCGGGTTCCCTGCTTGGACCCTGCTTCTCCCTCTGCCTGTGTCTCTGCCTCTCACTCTGTGTCTCTCATGAATAAATTTTAAAAATCTTTTTTTTTTAAATTTTATTTATTTATTCATGAGACACACAGGAAGTAGATTTGAGGTTACCAGGGGCTCTAGACAGGGGCAAGTGGGGCGCTACTGTCCAATGGGTACAAAGCTTCTGTTTGGGATGATGAAAAGTTCTGGAGATGGATTATGATGCTGGTTGTATCACACCATGAATGTGCTTTAACACCACTGAATTAAAGGGATGCCTGGGTGGCTCAGGCTGAGCATCTGCCTTTGGTTCAGGGCATGATCCCGGGGCCCCGGGGTCAAGTCCACATCAGGCTTCCTGTGAGGAGCCTGCTTCTCCCTCTGCCTGTGTCTCTACCTCTCTCTGTGTGACTCTAATGAATAAATAAAATTAAATCTAAAAAACGCCACTGAATTATTTACTTTAAAATGGTTAAAATGGTCAACTTTATGTTATGCATATATTTTACTTCACTAAGAAAAAACAGCAGAAGTCTGATGTGGGAGTGCAAAACAGAATAGTCATTTTGGAAAACTGTTGGGTAGTATTTACCAAAGCTAAATATACACATTCCCCAGGACCCAGCAATTCCACTTTGCAGTAGAGACCCAACAAGCACATACACACTCCCCCGAAGGCATGTGTTATAATGTTCACAGCAGCACCGTTCCTAATGGTGAAAAGCTGGAAACTGCCAAAAGGCCCATCAGGGCAGAAAGGACAGAAACACCACGGTATATTCACATAATGAAATGAATCAACCACAAGGACAGATGACATGGATGAATCTTACAAACCTGCTGAATGACAGAAGCCAGATCTAAGAGGACACAGGTGTGAGTGCATCGACGTGAGGTTCAAGAACAGGCACTGCTAACCAAGGTGAATGAAGTTAAGATGCTGGTCATCTTTGGGGAGAGGGCTCAGTGAATGGAAGTGGCAAGGAAGGGAGGCTGAAAGGCGTACAGCAGAGCTGCCCTCAGCTCCACAGAGCCTGGTGCCAGCTCCCTAGAACCCAAGAGCTCACAGAGAGGCAGAATCCAGTAGCAGAAGCCTGGAAATGTGCCTGTGACAAAGAGAAGATACTTAGAAACCAGGCTGCCCCCTTGCCAAGGTCCCTACTAAAGAGTGGAGGGCTGTGACATGCTTGGCCAGTAGGAGGGAAGAGAGGAATCTAGGTCTGAGTCAGCTCCAGAGGGTCCTGGAGTAAGCAAGACTCCCAGGGTGACCCTGCCCTTTGCCTCCTGCACAGAGCTTTAGGGTCTCCTCTTCTTTTAGGATTTTATTTATTTATTTATCTATCTATCTAATTTATTTATTTAATTTGAGAGAGAGAGCGCGTGCACGTGTGCACAGGCAAGGGCAACAGGCAGAGGGAGAGAGAGAAGCAGGTTCCCCACCAAGCAAGGAACCCGAATGTGGGGCTCGATCCCAGGACTCTGGGATCATGACCTGAGCCAAAGGCAGAAGCTTAACCGACTGAGCCACCCAGGTGCCCTAGAGTCTCATCTTCTCAGGCATCTTGCTTTGGCCTAGAGCTAAAAGGACCAAGAATGATATATGACAACGGTTACATCACCTTAATATAGGGCAACAGTTAAATAATCTATGGAATGCTTACTCCATGGATTATTTATCCAACTATGCAAAATGATATTTATAGTAGAGTTTTTAAGTTATCTAGGGAAGTTCTTATGCTATGAAGTGAAAGTCAGCGGAATGTAGAAAGGCCTATATAAGATATGCAACTATGCACATTTCAAAAGACTGAAAGGAAATGAACCTTTCCAATGACTGGTGATACCAACAACTTATTTTTTTGAATTTTCTGTCGGATTCTTCTCTTCACATGAATTGCCTCATTCTCCCCACCAAACTCATATGTTGGAGTTCTAACCCCCAGGACTGTACATAGAGACAGAGCCTTTGGAGATGTGCCAAAGCTAAAATGATGTCATTAGGGTAGGGCTCAAGCCAACATGACTAGTGGTCGTGTAAGAGGAGGGAGTCTGGACACAGTTACAGAGGGAAGAGAGGACAGCCATCCACGAGCCAAGGTGAGAGGCCTCACACAAAACCAACCTTACCCACACATTACTTTTCATTGTTTAAACTCCTAAGTCTGGGTAACTTTGTGATAGCAGCCCGGCAAACTAATACAGCCTGCTCCATTCTCAGGAGTCAGGAATTCTTCCCCTCCTGAATTAATACTAACAGCCGACATTTAAATGCCTTCTTACTTAATCTTCACCAAGCACCCTATGGAGTAGATTTAAAGTCCATTTTCTAGTATGTGAACCAGAGGTTAAATGAATTCACTGAAGTTACATAGGAGCTAGAACGGCCTGAGTCATTTTCTTAACTGTTATCCTTCTTGAGTGTCTTTCAGATACACCTGAGAGTTTCTTTCCTTATCTCTTCCCCACCTCCCACTACCTGTTCTCCTTCTCCATCAGTTAAAATAATGGAGTCTGATTTTTAGATGCCCGGTGAGGCAGTGTGATGTTTAGGGGAAAGCACTAGAGTGGGGAAAATACCAGTATCACTCTTACAGGGTTGATGTGAGGATTAAATGAGGATATAAGTAAAGGACTAAGAGAATGTGTAATGTCAGGGTCTGCCTTGGATGCAGTTAGTGGACACAGAGACAGCTGTAGGCAATGACATTAACTTGCTCAGGGGATCTGGTGTAAGGCATTCAAGTGCCTTATTCTCTGGGCCCCACCATCTATTGTTTGTTGAACTTTTGTGCCTGAGGCCTGCTTTCCCTTGGTTTGAAAGGAGAGACACATGCTATTAAGAATTATTGAAGAGTGGAAGGACCAAACACACTTGTTCCTTAATGTAATAAGAGTTAAGAAAAGCTTAAAGGGAATACCTAAAACTCCTTAGGTGATTCAGCATTCCTTAAAGGTATGTTAAGGATGCATACAAAGATCCCTCAACATTAGATGGAAACAACAATTTAGGTTTTTTTTTAAAGATTTTATTTATTTATTTATTCATGAGAGACACACAGAGAGAGGCAGAGGGAGAAGCAAGTTCCCTGTGGGGAGCCTGATGTGGGACTTGATCCCAGGACCCTGGGATCACGCCTGAGCTGAAGGCAAATGCTCAACCACTGAGCCACCCAGGCAAAAATACATTTGCATTTTTAACTGTATTTGAAAAATACCTCTGGAAGGTGACCCCCCCAAAATGGGCTTACAGGCAGAAAAACCAACAGGTAGGGAACAGGGATGAGATTTTTTTCTGAATACCCTTCTAAATTTTTTTTTTTTTTTTAAAGATTGAGCTGAAGGCAGATGCTCAACTGCTGAGCCACCCAGGCATCCCAATACCCTTCTAAATTCTGACCTGCATGAATGCATTAGCTTTTCAAATACTGATTAAAAAAATGAACAGTCATGGGGCTCCTGGGTGGCGCAGTTAGTTAACTGTCTGATTCTTGGTTTCAGCTCAGGCAGTGATCTCAGGGTTGTGAGATCAAGTCTCTCTTGGGGCTCCACACCCAGCAGGGAATCTGCTTGAGAGTCTTATTCCTTCTCCCTCCACCTTTCCCACTTGTGCTCTCTAAAATAAATAAATCTTAAAAAAAAAAAAAATCATCAGTCTCGTTTCCCATTCTCAAAACAGCCTTCTTCCTAAGGGAAGATCTTCAGCTAGCAGAGGGGTGGCCAGGTAAGCCTGTTAGCTGTTTCCCTTAACAAGAGACTATGAGCTCTCCCATCCTCTTCTATCAGGTTATCCAGCTAGATGCTAATGGATTGACATTTCCCCCACCCCCACCTCCACCAGAAGCCTTAATCCTCCAAACTCTAAAAGATGTCAGGAACCCTCTGTTTTCTACAAAATCTGCCCCACCTCGCAAATGTACAGTACACTTAAGTGTCCTGTTGCTGGTCCATTCCCATTATCATATGGCTCCAAATATTTGTAGTTGGGCTACC